ACCTCTTTCTTGCCTGGAGCTGCTAGTGGGTTCCAACGACTGATTTTTTAGTTCACTGCTGAGCGTTTTAACCACTGAGCCACCTGGGCTTCTCTCCCAGCCCAGTGGTCCACATCCCTCCCCTCCCGCCATCCAGATCAGACCAAGTTTTCTTCCCTCCAGGTCTTAGAGCGGTGTGTCCTCCGCCTGCTTGCTCCCTCCCCCGTCGTTCTTAGAGGGAACCTTTCTTCTTATGGCGAGAACCAATGAGGACCTGGCTGCCTCCAGGCCGAAGCTGACCGCCATCTTGTCACATCCCCCTGGCTCTCCCGAAAGCAGGCAGCCGCCCAGGGAGTTCACAGGGGAGAAGTCAGAAACATCACTTCCTGGGAGGAAGATGAATCCAAATGGCAGCTCTCAGACATTCTGCTCTTGTGGGAGTTGAAACAAACCCTCCTCGCCCTGCTGTCAATGGTCTCTGGAGTTGGGGACTCAGAGCAGAGGGAAACATGCCCCGCTACTGCCCAGGACCTCACCTGTGACAAGTCTCAGCCTGCTTTTTTCCACCTGGAGTGGCCTGCCTCCTTGTCCAGCCTGTCCCTACCTTCGACGTACGATGGCCACTTTCGGATTTCCCCTCAGGAGCTCCCCTGCTCACTGCCACTGTCCGACACCCGTCCAGCCCTCAGCTGAGATGCCACCTCCTGAGCGAGCTATTCTGCGTGCCTAACCCTAGCACCCACACGCCCCAATGTCAGGACTCAAACCTCAGCTCAGGCCCCCTCCCTCCTCCACGGCACCTACAACTGAACCTTTCATCCTCCTGTTCCTTCCCTTGCTGACTGCCAGCCCCGCCTCCAACAGGCATCAATTACACGAGGGCCTGCTTGTTCGTCACTGGATCCTCAGGGCATCCAGCATGGGGCCCGGCAAAACAAATGTTTGCTGAACACGTGAACTTCAGGCACTATAGAGAGGTGCTTTGCATGTGTGATAGATGAAGCAGAAACCATCATCCGTTCCACCCCTGTTTTACCAAGGAGGGAGGCTGTCTCTTCTGTGGTGGCAAGCACTGAGTCTGAATAAGATGGAGCCCCGGGGTGGGGCAGAGTTAACACACTCGATTACAAACCAAAAGGCACCTTGGAAGAAAGGCCTGGTGATCTACTTCTGGCCTCTGAACACCCCAGGGAGCACAGTTCCACCAGGAGTTGGCACCAACTCCCCAGCAACTGGGTATTTCAGTTTTTTATGTCTGGGGCTGCCAGCACTCATGGGGCCACGGGGCTCATGGAAGACTGATGTCAACTCAGAAACCGGCGCCAAGAACTGGCCTTCGGATGGCTCATCTGGCGGCTCTGCACCCAGCTGTTCCGAGGTCCCCAACGACACAGCGGCTTGCAGGGGAGGGCTGTGGGGCTCAAAGTGGGGAAAGGAGCTGCCCAAGGCCATGTCATCAGGAAGAAGAGGTGCTGGGACTAGACCCCTGCCCTCTCAGCCTGCCCAAGCCTCAGAGGGAGCACGGGCCCAGCCACCGCGTGGATCCCGGCAGGTCTGGTGGATCTGGAAAACCGACAGAGCAGACAGACAGCAGTCAACTCCATGAGGAGGACTGAGATCTCTCCTGGGAAGGAGCCTGCGTGGAGCTGGAAGGATAAGCTTGCCCCAGGACGCTGCTCCCATGGGAGCAGGTGACCATGAGCATGGGGGAGGAACTGTTCCGAGCATCTGTCTCCCAACCCAGTCTCTCCGGGACTCTTGTCTAGGTCCAATGGAGAAATAAGCTATAAATAGAGACCAGGGGCCGAGGGGCAGCTGTTTCACTGAACACTCTGCAGGACAATGTGGTGGCAGCATGGCTTAGGGAGCGTGGAAGAGTAAGCAGAATGCTTTCCACACACAAGGGTCCAGGAGCTGGACGATGGCACACTGCGCAAGTGGGGCCAGGCGTCTTCTTGAGCACGCAAGACAGTCCTCGCCATGCCTGCAAGTCTGGGGAGTGTGTGGCAGGTGCCTGGGATCCTGCACCAATAGGCGGGGCTACGCCCATAGGCCTGAGTCACTTCAGCTAGCATTGTCCCGGTGGTCCTTCCAGGCAGGGGAAGCTGGAGAACCTTGGCCAGGAGCTTCGTCCCAGAGAGCCGCTTCTCCTGCTGCGCCCTTCTCCCAGCTCACACTGCCCTCATTCTTCTACTGCACGCACATACACACCCATTCACACACCCATTCACACACATACACACACTTGGCCCGCCCCTGAGTCAAAAGGGGTTCAAAGGCCATCCCTGGCCCTTCCATTCAGGAGAAGACAAGGCTGGGAGGAACCACCTACCTCCGTGGTGGTGACTGGACTGTGGCCAATGCCCCTCCTGACGGAGTCCCAGGAGCGGGCCGTCAGCATGCAGGCAAACAAGGGGTAGAGCTCGCCAGCACCCAGGCACCGGCTGTACTTTTGCACGTTCTTCATGTCAGTCCAGATCAGAGACTGCCAGAGGTGGCAGTAATTCAGGCGGAACTCTTCCGTGAGCACCTGGGGGGCAGAGGGACAGTGGCAAGACCTGAGACTCCTGCCCCCGTGAGGTCCTCGCCATGCAGACCCTAAGCCCCCAGCAGTGGGTGTCGACCACCACAGGGGCGATGGGTTGGGACTGAGGCTCCGGCTTGATGTCTGCTGCCCTGCAAACAAACACAGCCAACCCTGCAGACCCCTAGGCCAAGCCCCGAAGTGAGGAGCCTGGTCTATCCAATTGTCACCACCATGTTCTTCCCAGCCCCAGGATCTCCACAGTGGGCTCCTGTGATGACCCAGACAAGCTTGAAACTCTCCAGGGAAGTCTGGGGAGCTCAGGCCATGCAGCCCAGAGCCCAGGAGGGGCACCACCTGTAGACCCCTCTGCTGCCAGGACGGAGCATGAGCAAGAAGTAAAAGGTCGATTGTGCTTGGCCTAGGGGCTACTTTGGGGCCTGAGACAGCAGCAATTGGCCCCAAATGAACTCTTCCCTCTTTGTGGGAGGTCCAGGGGTGGGGAAATGAGAGTGGGGCTCTGAAGAGTGGCCTAGGAGACCCCTGGGAAGCCACCCTAGGCCCTGGACCTCATGAAGTCAAGTCAGGCCCTGAGCCCCGGGGCAAGCAGGGAACATCGCCTTGAGGTTGCTTCCAACCAGCTCTGCAACCCTTGGACAGGTCTCTGGGACGGACAGTCTGGGACCATCTGTCCCATCAGCTCCCTGCCCTCTGGGCCATGACACAGCTCCTCACTGGGGCAGGACACACCGTCCTGCCTCCCTGGGAAACCCAGCTCACAGTTCGCCTGGCTTCCCTGGAAAGGAGGCACATATACACGCACATTTCCACAGAACCCTCCCCACTGGCGGGGACACAAACCAGCCTGGCTTTACTGCGGAGGGAGCAGAGGCCCTGGACCTGTGACTCACAAACAGTGAGCCTGCTCCTGGGGCAGGACAGAGGTCCCTCCAGCTCTTAGCTCTCGGATCCATTGCCATGACTGGTCCCAGAGGGCAGTGGGCTCCCCTACCTGGTAGAGCCCGTGGTCCAGCAGCACAATCTCGGCCTGCCCGGTGCCAGGCTGTTTCCGCACCAGCACGTTGCCCGGGTGGGGGTCACAGTGCACAAAGCCGTTGACAAAGATCATCTCACTGTACAGCTTGCCCAGGTGGCGCGAGACCTGCAAGGGAAAGTGGGGTGGGAGTGCTGCTGGCCCGGAGACAATGGTCACCATGCTGGTCCCTTCCAGGAAGACCAGAGGCTGGTGGGCTGAGCGGCCAAGGTGGAAGTGATGGACTGAGACTGGGTTGCATTCAGGTTGCAGGGAGGAGTTAATCTCTAACCCAGAGCTGCCAGGCATTCAAATGTTGGGAGCTCGCAGACACAGCATTTCTTTGAAGCTCCCGCTGTGATTGAAGCTTCCTCTTCCCAGGAAGGCAAGAGGAGTAGTGAGTCCGTGGTAGAATGCTGTGCTTCCTTGAGGGAGACCTGAGTTCAAATCCCGGGCAGCCGTCATGCTTGTGTACTGCAGTCATGCTCACCGGGTTTCAGCAGAGCTCCCAGAGTAAGTGGGATGAGGAAGAAAGGCTTGGGGTCTACTGCTGGAAGCCAGGCAGTGAAAACCCCTCGGAGCTCCAGAGTGCATTGGCTGACCTACAACCGACTGCGGGGCTGGCCGCAAGAGGCCTGTGCAGGGCCTCACTCCCCTGTGCATGGGCTCACCACGAGATGGACAGACTCGGAGCAGCAATGACATGGTGGCTTTGCACACACACACACCCCACCCAAGGAACCATGGTGGCGTCCTGTTGGCCCCAAGGTCAGCAGACGGAGCCCAGCAGCCACTCGGCTGGAGAAGGGTGAGGCTGTCTGCTCCCATCAAGATTTACAGCCTTGGAAACCCTAGGGAGCAGCTCCACTCTGCCTTACGGCGTCACCAAGAGTCTGAATCGGCTCCCAGTCTCTGAAGCCTGCGCCCTCTGTTCTTCCCCCATGCCCTGTCTTCCCTACTCTCTTATCCGTCCCCACCCCACCTTCTTCATTTCTAACCCAAAGCTGGTGAAAGGCCGGGACAGTGGTTGGGGGGAGTCATTTTACCCACCACTTCTCCAAAGGGCCGGGGGCTATGTATCAGCCCAGGGGAGCCCCAGCCCACCGTGTGGGCTACCCTACCGCCCAGGCTAGTGCCAGGCCTTGCCTTCTCTCCCTCCAGGTTGTCTCTTCCCACCCACCCCCTTCCCTGGAGCCCCGTGTGCATCTGATGGATGATGTCTGCACAGAAGAAATGACACTGGAGAGGCCGTTTAAATCATCCTGTCACTCCGCTCTCCCTGCCCAGGCAGACGGCTTATCTCGACTCCCTTTTTATTAAAACTAAAAGCCTCTTCCCGGCAAGGGGACAGCTGCGGAATACTGCCAGCCCGAGCTCCGAGACAGTCTGTCCGTGGGGCTCTGCCAGCCCAGAAAGCGGATGCCCAGGTCATCTGCTGCCCTTGGCATTTCTGTCCGCCTACACTGGCCCCCAGGGTCACCAGCATACAGCAACACAGTCAGAGAGGCGGAGCTGGCGCCCATGAGGTGAGGAGAAACATAAAACTAGGGCCGTAAAAGGAAGGTTCAACTCCTTTCCTCCACCTGCATGGCATGGTCTCCCCTCACACTGCACCAACACTCCAGCATTACTCACTTTCTCAACTTCTCCACTGATCCCTGCCCCTGGCTACCTCAGGGCCTTTGCACATGCCATTCTCTCTGTAAGGGTATTTCCCCCTGGCTGTACTCCTGGTTCCTTCTGCTCCAGGCTCAGCATCAGCTCCCCGGGAGGCCACGTCTCACGACCCTCCTGCCAGACACTGCCCAGCATGCTGCACTCATCTTTCCCAGCACGAGCCTGCTATCTGCATATGGCGCTCTAGCCCACTCTCCAGGCGCTCCGGTGGCCCTGCTGGTGTTGGGTTGCTCATTGTCAGGTCAACAGCTCAAGCCCACCGGGCGCTCCACTGGGGAGAGACACCGCTGCCTGCTCCTGTGAGATGGACAGCTTCAGAAACCCTATGCCAGGTCGCTACGAGTCAGACTCCACTCCAGACAGGGGGTCTGGGTGGGTGGGTGGGTTGAAGAATGGATGGGTGGGTGAATGAATAATGTGATCCGATGTCTCCAAGATCCAAAACCAGAATCTTAAGAACCTATAAATCCTTTGTACGGGTCTTAGTCTCAGAGGCTGGTGGATAGTGGGCTCCAGGATGGACTGGGAGACTGACCAGCCCAGACAGGCTTCCCGTGGACTGGAGCAATCAGAAAGAACCCCGGAGGCTCTCCCTCTGCTAAATATGAACTTGACCCCAAGTGGGTGCTATCAACCTCTCCCTCATCCCACTCGATGGTGGCAGCTAGCTCCGGAAGCAACGTCTCTTTTCATGGTAAGAACAGCCCTCTGTGGTAAGGCCCATCGTCGTCCCCATTTGACAGAGAGGGAAATCGAGGCTCAGAAAATGCCATGATTTGTTTAACTCAAGTCTCAGTCCAGAGCCTCTGCCCTGAAACAAACAACCTCCGGCACAGCCTCCTGGGTTGCTTTTAGGGGGGGGCTTTGAGGTGTCCCAAAGAGACACTGAGCTGGGGTTTGAAAGGTTCCAAAGGGTCCCAAGGACCCAGGCTCCCAACATCACATTGGCCAGGCCAGCAGGGTGTTTTCCACACCACTAGAGCTCCTCCCAGCCTCCTGAAGACCACTATCTAGTGCTGGCTCGCACCTAGTTCTGTGCTTCTCCGTCTAGTTTGCGACTTTGAATCAGCTGCTTCGAGCTGAGCGTCAGTTTCTGCTTCTGTAAAATGGAGCCCGTTTCTCAGGGGCCACCCCCGAGGTAAAGACCCTCATAGTACTGGGCACACAGTGGCAGTGGCTTCCCACAGTTGCCCCTCCTGTTGTACTGTTAGGGATGCCTTGCAGCACACCTGCAGGGTCAGCAGGCTCTGTTCGGTGTGCCTTGTTAAGAGCTGAGCCCTGGGGTTGGAGAAGTCATTTAGTCCCCACACTAGTCCCACGCCCCCTTGCTGCTCAGCACCAGGTTCCAACTGCCATCACCTCCTTCGGTGAAACCAACCTTCCAGTCTTCCCAGCATCTGCCCACGTGAGGACAGGACTTCGTTCCATGTCAAAGCCTCCTGGCTCAGGCTAAGAGGCCCAGTGTTCCAAGCCCCCGTTCTGTTTCCTCGGGACAGACAGACAGGGGAGGGGATTTCTTCATCCCAGGGAGACAAGCTCTGGAAAGTTAGATTTTCCAAACCAATTTCATTTATTAAGTAACCATCCATTTTATTTGTCAAAGATGCACATAAGTTCCAATCAGGACTCCTGATCAGCCCTAGATAAGCAGGTGGCCAGACGGCGCTGACAGAATTCCAGCCCAAAGCATTGAAATGATATTTCATTTCGTCCACCAGACCTGTCAAGGGGAGATGTATGATCTCCCTTAAGCTTCCTGAAATACTGCTAATCGCTCTGTTCCCCCCATTACTGTGCTGAAAGATGGTCCCTGGGGGTCTGGGAGCTTGGGGTGGGGGCCATTGCCCATGAGGAGAGAGCTACTGGGGATGGAGGAGGAAAAGCTATGAGTTGGGCTCATATACGTACAGCCAGAGCTACCAGCGGGGCCTCCCCATCTCCACCCCCTGGCTAGCTGCCTCCATCTGGATGCCGCCAGTTGGGGGCTCTTCTTGGTGTTCATGCTCACCAGGACACACAGCCACAGAAGGGAGAGACAGGGGCTGGCGTCAAGCCTGTGCCCACGGGACCCTGGTGCCATCTTGGTTCTGCCCACGAAGAGCAGGGAAGGCCTGGGACAAGTCCCTTTTCTACCTGGGTCCCTTTGGCTGTGAAATGTGACAGTCTACCTCGTCTCCTTCCTCACAGATCATCTTCAAGAGTCAAGGTCAGATGAGCGCACAACAGGATTGCCCCACAGGGTCCTCTTGGCAGAGCACCAGGTCTTCCTGCAGTGGAGCCCCTGTGGGTTTGAACCCCCAACCTTGGCAGTTAGCAGTCACGCACTTGACTGTTAAACCACCAGGGCTCCTTTTTAACAAATGGTAGGTTATGATTTCCAACTTGGGGAGGGGGGGAGCGAAATAAGCCCATTGTCACTGTCAAGGCATATTTCCAAAAAAAATTAAAAGTATGGCTCGCATGCAAATATGCACGGCACACATTTCAAAGGCTTATTAACTCGTTAATAAGGGAGTGGGTGCAATGGCTGAGTAAGGAACCAGTGTTCATGGGCTTACGCCAAGACTAGCCCAGGTACAAAACTAGTAACTGTCCTCAGCCCACGGCCAAGCAGTCCATTCTGACACGCAACCACCCCAGAGGGTGGGGTAGAGCTGCCCACCCCACCCCCCAGGGCTTTCCAAGGCTGAACTCCAGCACAGCTTCCTGCCGCAGAGCAGCTAGTAGGTTCCACTCTCTGACCTTCCAGTGAGCAGCCAATTGATCGAACCCCTGCGGTTACCGTCCTACCTTGGGAATTTAAAAATCACAACCTTTGGAGTTACCTTTTATGGGCTTTGAGTGCGCAGTTCGAAACCACCAGCCGCTCTGCAGGAGAAAGAGGAGGATTTCTACTCCTGTGGATTTCTACTCCTGTAGAGAGTTTCAGTCTCAGAAACCCACAGGGGCAGTTTATTGTCCACCCTCCAGGGTCGCTGTGAGACGACTGGGCTCGAGGGCAGTGAGTTTCAGTGAGTGCTGCTGGACAGGAAGTGTCTGCCCCTCGCCAGAAATGACAGACAAGGGGGAGGCGACTCCCGAGTCCAAGCCCATCGTGCCTTTCAATCACAAAGCCAAGCAACAGCACACGCCCACCCACCGCACCCCCGGACACCAAGGCCAAGCAACATGGCACGGCCACAAAGACAGCACCCTTCGCCCCCTCTGGTGAGCAGGAACTGGGCTCTCCAAAGATCGTGACCCTGCGACACTCTTGGCACGCCAGGAACTAATCCGACCCCCAACAACAGACAGGCCTGTAAGGTGGCCAAGCAACCTAGCAAGGACAGCCTTCTTCGAACCACCAGCCGATGACATCCGAAGGACGCTGTTGCCCCGGGATGACCTCAGAGGCAAGACGAGAATGACGCCACAGTAGAGGGTGGAGCAGGGGAACAGCAGTCCAGCTCGAT